TGTCCTGATGGTGATTTGGGGAGCCCAGGCTGGGTGGTACCACGAGGCAGGCACAGGCTATCCTGGGAATATGGGGATAGGATGAGAGGAAACGGGGTTGACAGCTGGCCTTATTTGCCCTAACCTCGGGTCCTACAGCTCCTGGAGCTATTTGACAGCGAGGACCCTCGGGAACGTGAGTACCTCAAGACCATCTTGCATCGGGTGTACGGCAAGTTCCTGGGTCTTCGTGCCTATATCCGCAAACAGTGCAACCACATCTTCCTCCGGTGCGTGGCTGCTGCCTGCTCAGCAGAGACCTGGGAGGGAGGCAGGGAAGCAGGAGGAACCTGCTGGGACTATCAGGCTGTGTGGGCTGTATGTTTAACACGTTCTGTCTCTGCAATGTAGTATTGATCGTACAAAGCCTGTGAAGTCAAGAATGAGTTTTATTTCCATTTTACAGATGAGCAAATAGATCTTCTATTTTTTTTTTTTTTTGAGACAGGGTATCCCTGTGTAGCTTTGGAGGCTGTCCTGGAACTAGCTCTTGTAGACCAGGCTGGTCTAGAACTTTTTTTAAAAAGATTTATTTATTTTATGCCTGTATGCCTGCACCAGATCTCATTACAGATGGTTGTGAGCCACCATGTGGTTGCTGGGAATTGAACTCAGGACCTCTGGAAGAAAAGTCAGTGCTCTTAACCTCTGAGTCATCTCTCCAGCCCCAGATCTTCTGATTCTTTTTTTTTTTTTTTTCCGAGACAGGGTTTCTCTGTAGCTTTGGAGGCTGTCCTGGAACTAGCTCTTGTAGACCAGGCTGGTCTCAAACTCACAGAGATCTGCCTGCCTTTGCCTCCTGAGTGCTGGGATTAAAGGCGTGTGCCACCACAGCCCGGCTGATCTTCTGATTCTTATCAGGCTTTCTACAAACATATGCTGAGCACCAACCATATCCACTGGGCATTGGGGTCTTGTAGTTGAGACTCTGGTTGTATATTTGACTTTGGCTCAAATATGTGAACTTGGGCAAGTCCTTGAATTTCTTGGCTTGTTTCATTCTTTGAAGTGGGCTCAGTGCCTATGCTAATGTGGGTTCATTCTCCAGATGAAGCCAGAGGGGGCCTCCAAAGCACCTGGCATAGCTCCTGGGCTGAGGTGGGGCCTCTGAAACATTAGCCATTGTTTCTAGTGATAAAATAGAGAAGACACAACCCATGTTCTCTAGGAGCTCAGAGTCCATTCATTAGCTTCCCCACTTATTAACTTTGAGGCAAGTAGCCTTTAGCTAGAGTTTCAGCTGCACCTCTGTAATGGCTTTCATATGCACCGTCTCCCAGAGGGATTTGGGGGATTATAGTGCAGGGTAGAGGTGTTTGTAGTTGCTTTGGTTGACTGCATGAAGGCTGAAGGTCCTAGGCTGGGTGCCTGCTGGCTGGCGGGGCATCAGGTAAGGAGTGCTGGCGACTGGAAGAAATGAGCTGGGGCTGTCTCATGGAAGAGAGGCTGGGAGCTGGGACTGGCAGCGGCAGAGGTGGCTGGGCTGGGAAAGGCATTTTACCTGTGGGTGGACTCAGTGGGACCTGGTTTGGGGCACCAGGAAGGGAACACTCCTGTGGGTTGGGGAAAATTGGACAGCTGTGCAGGGTGAGTCAGGGTGGCTGGCAGGAAGGCTGATGGAGAGAAAGCTGGACCTTTCCCAATGCTCCCACCGTCCATATTCTTCTCTCCTCCTGCAGGTTCATCTATGAGCTGGAGCACTTCAATGGTGTTGCCGAGCTGCTGGAGATCTTAGGAAGGTAATTCTCCTTAGCTTTGGCTGGAGCTGGGGTTTCTGGTAGGAGGGACTGGGGGCCTGATTGGCTGAGCCCTGCTCCTCTCTTCTGTCCACTCAAAGCATCATCAATGGCTTTGCGCTTCCCCTGAAGACTGAGCACAAGCAGTTCCTGGTTCGAGTCCTGATCCCCTTGCACTCTGTCAAGTCATTATCTGTTTTTCACGCCCAGGTGAGCCCCAGCCTGGCCCTTACAGCAGCAGGGGCTGCTGACACTCAGGGCTGCCTGTGGGGCCAGGAAGTCAGATTGACACTTGTTGTATTCTGTTTTAACCTGAGTCTCTCCTCTACCTGAGAGCTGACCTTAGGCACTAACTGTGCTACTCGGTGCCTTTAAGTCCAAAGCAGCCACAAGTGCTCAGTGAACAGTGGGTAGGCAGTAATAGCAGATGCCTGGCACGCTGTCCTGGTAGCTAGTTCTTGGCTCCTGGCCCTTCCTGACTTTGGCCCCTTTTTTCCACCCTGGCCTTGCAGCTGGCATACTGTGTGGTGCAGTTCCTGGAGAAGGATGCCACTTTGACAGAGCATGTGAGTACCTTGGAGGGAAGGTGGGCCCCTCACTTTTCGGGTCTGACTCCTCCTCCACCCTACAGGTTATCCGGGGGCTCCTCAAATACTGGCCTAAAACCTGCACCCAGAAGGAGGTATGGAGGGCTCTCATAACCCTGAGAGTGGGTGGGAGGGCTCAGCTTCCAGAAGGCAACGAGGTGCGTGCTTTAGGGGAATGTGAGCTGCTGCTCTGCCCTCTCCCCAGGTGATGTTCCTGGGTGAGATGGAAGAGATTCTTGATGTCATTGAGCCTTCCCAGTTTGTGAAGATTCAGGAGCCCCTCTTCAAGCAGGTGGCTCGCTGTGTCTCCAGCCCCCATTTCCAGGTATGTGACAAAGGCAGGTGGGGTCAGGACAGAGGCACAGCCTGGCAAACTTTCAAAATTGGCCTAACATAGTCCCCTCTTCCCTCAGCTTCTCTTCCAGCCCTAGATCTGGTAGCAGGGAGGTGCTGGCCTGGGGGTCATGAGACCTAGGTTCAAACCTCAGACCTGTATCCCACTAGCTGAGAGGACTTGGAGGAATCACTTCCCTGAGTCTAAGTGGGTTTCCTTGACTATAAAATGGGCCAATAATAGTCTCTTCATGTGTAGTGACAGTAAACATATCAGGGAAACTGACACACAGTGGGCTATAGAATTGTTAGCCCCTTCATCTTCACTGGTCCCACTTTCTGGCCAGAAGGCTTGGCTTCCATACTAGTCTACACTCACTCCACTCTTAGGAGCTATACCTGGTGGATGTTGGTTCTTCCTCATGATGGCTCTGGTATTTCACTTTTAAAACACCTTGAAGTACAGGAACTCATTTCATTCTGACAACAGCTGGTGGAGATGGGTATTCTTAGCCCCATTCACACGCAGACAGCCGAGGCTGAGGAGCTGGATGCCTCGCCAAGGCTGTGCACGTGCAGTGGGCTCTGGAGGAGTCAGGACTGCCTGTATTGCCTGTGAAGTCAGTGTTCTTTCTCTCGCCTCAATTTGTTTCCTCCAATGGGTCACATTAGCAAGCCCTCAGGATGGGGTGTGGAGGTCGGAGGATGTAGGTTTTGGGGTAAGGATGAAAAATAGACCTTGTATACTCGAAAGCCACAGCCAGACCCTCTCTGCTGCTTCACCTGCTCAGGTTGCAGAGCGGGCTCTGTATTTCTGGAATAATGAGTACATCCTGAGCCTCATTGAGGACAACTGCCACACTGTGCTGCCTGCGGTATTTGGGACCCTCTACCAAGTGTCCAAGGAGCACTGGAACCAGTGAGTGCCCAAGCTTTGTGCAACCCTTGGAGACAGGCACCACAGTTAGTCCAGCCCCTAGGGCCATGCCTAGCTGAATAGAGAGCAAATGCCAGAATACCAAAGGGTGGTAAAAGGGCAAGGAAATGGCAGGGATCAGGGATGAGCAGAGTGGTATCTTATTAATCCCCTTATCACCTCTCCTTGACTATGCCAGAACCATTGTATCGCTGATCTACAATGTGCTCAAGACTTTCATGGAGATGAATGGAAAGCTGTTCGATGAGCTTACAGCTTCCTACAAGCTGGAGAAGCAGCAGTGAGTACTGGGGAGGGGCAGAGAAGTAGGAAGGAGTCAGACCCTCAGGCTGCAGGAGTATGAAGAGGACCCATCCTGGTGTGGTCAGCTTCACCTTGTTTCCAGCAGGGGGCTGCCCACTGACTACTCTGGTTCTCTTGTACCAATGCTTCAGTCAAGGCAGCTCACAGCCTTTTTCCTTTCCACACCTCCCCTCTAAGCCAAGGCATCCCATGGAGTCCTAGTCACTTTACAGTGGGTGGTGGTGAGGGAGGTTAGCTTGTCGGTAACTGAGAGAGGAGCTGCCTCACCCTCTCTCCCCAGGGAGCAGCAGAAGGCCCAGGAACGTCAGGAGCTATGGCGAGGTTTGGAAGAGCTGCAGCTGCGCCGGCTACAGGGGACCCAAGGGGCCAAGGAAGCTCCCCTCCCTCGGTCTACACCCCAGGTGGCTGCCAGCGGGGGTCAGAGCTAGACAAATCTAGAAGGGGAGAAGCTAAACCCAGAGCTATCAGCCCCTCCATCCCTTCTGCCCAGGGGCCCAGTGAGGCCCACGACTCCCCGTGGCCTTGCCAGAGTGGCTCTAGGCCCAGAGTGGGTCTAGGACTCCCTGCCAGTCCCATGGGAACAGCTTCCATGGGGGACACAAGAACACAAGATGGTAGTCTTGGCAGCAGAACTCTCAGGCCTTTGTGGCAAGATTCTGGCAAGACTAGACCAGGGCAATTATGCGACTGGGAAGCTGCCATCAGGGATCCTCCCCTGCCCTAATACAGCTGGACTCCCATCCCTGCTCCTGGCCTGGGGCATGGGCCCTCGGCACCTGACCTGGCCTGCCTCAGCCTGGCCAGGATCTTCCTCATCCCCACCATGGGGCACAGTCTATTTATTGTACCCAGCTCACCCTCAACAAGACACTGTCCAGGGACATACTCCTCTCCTCTCCCATGCCCTGTACTTCCTTGTCCCCTTTTTATTTATTGGGCAGGGGGAGGGGTGAGGGCACAGGCAAGAAGAGATTCACATTGTCCTGGGGTGAGGGGGGGGTTACAGTAATCATGGTCTGCCTCCTTCCCCTGGCTAGGGGGCAGACTTAATAAAGAGCGAAACTCAAGCATTGCTTGCTTTATTGAGGACAGGAGTGAAGGACAGTGTAGCAAAGAGACCACTTAGAAGGCCAGGCAAAAGGAGACGAAACCCCATCTTCACTGACTCTAAAGAGGGTCAGAGCTGAAGTAGCCCCCTCATTTGAGAGATCCCATAGCATATCAGTGACAGGATCCGGGCCTGAGCCATTCAGGCAGGGACTAGTAGCGGGAGAGACGGCACATGTCACACTGGCAAGCTCTGGCAGTGAAGATCTCAAGCTCCCCCCGCTGGTTCCCCACGCAGTTCAGCCATACCTTCACCTGTTGGAGGAAGAACCCAAGTTTGTTCCTATTCCTTCCCACCCTGGTGCCCCCATCAGGCCCAGGCCCCTCACCTTTTTTAGACTGCTAATGGTACAGCACTGAGAGACAGATGTGATGTTGTGCCGATAGCCACTGGCCACCAGCACAGAGTACCGGGAAGGGAAGGCACTAGACTCACAATGTCCTACACAGGCCTGTGCTACATGGGAGCCCTGGCAGGTGCCATGGCGGTCGCTTCGCACTGTCACATTGAAGGCTGGAAGGAGAAAGGAAACAGCCTGTGAAGACTCCTGGCTGAGGTTATCTGTGCTTTCAAGTCTGCAACTTTCCCCCAATCCACTCTTCCCAACAGAGGTACTCACGGTGCAAGTGGCAGCCCGGGATGGCTGCCTCCCAGCAATGTCCTTCAATGACTGCCAGAACCAGCAGGCAGAGGAGCAGGACACGTGCTGCCATGGGCATCTGAAAAGGAGTGGGTGGAAGGGGGAGGTCTGCCGTCTAGTGAGCTGTGGGGGGGGCTGTCTATCCCATCTTTGGCAGGAATGTGCCACTCTGCCTGGGCTACTCTGAAAGGGGAGCCATTTCTGTATAGGACTTGTCATCCTTCTGTGCAGATTTTCCCTGGAATGTCCCACACCATCCAGAGTACAAAGTTCTTCCCCCCTCCATGTGCCGCTTTGGCCTATAAGGCCCTGATCCACAACCCTCCTGCCCTCCCTAGCTCCACCTGGTCCCCTGCTTCAGCAGCTCACCAGTCCAGCAGAAACAGATGGCTGTAGACTCCCAGTGCCTCCTGCTGGGTCTCCAAACTGGTGCTGGCTCTCCAGGCTTTTATTTGAGGGTGTTTTAGAGCCACACCTTCTTAGATATCAGCTTTCAGGCCCCTCCTAGCCTGAAGCCTCAGCATAGTCCCACCTGGGGATCATAGACTGAGGTTTCTTCAGAATACAGTCTGCTGACATTTCTCTTTCCCAGAAGGCTGTCTAGGGTAGAGTATTAGAGGGAAGGAAGCAAGCTCAGGAGTGGCCTAGAGACATGTGCGTAGCTGGGTTCTCTTCCCACCCTGTGAGCTTGGGCAGGACTCTTCTTTGAACAGCTATTCTGTCTAAAAATGCCTACTTTCAGTCCTGTTGCCTATTTGCCTTTAAGTGATTACCAAGTAATGGGTTAAAAAACACCCCCCCATTTCTTTTTTCTTTTCTTAAAGCACAATTTCATGCATTCCTAGAAGCAACCTTGAACTTCTGATCCTTCTGCCTCTACCTCCCAAGTCCTGGAATAAAAGGCATAAGCCCCATATCCACTTTATGTTGTTCTGGGGTCAAATCTAGGGCCTGTGCATGCTAGGGAGGCACTGTACCGATGGAGTTGCACCCCCCAGCCCAAGAACAAGATTCTTTTAATGGGTGCCCCTCCAGTGGGGGCACTAAGCTGTGCCTGGTGACAGACTAGGGTTAGGTCCATGTCAGTTTCCCAGTGCCCCGTAAATGCTTTCACCTCATGTGGCCAGCTGCAGAGTGGATTCTGAGCTACAGTCTCCTTACTCCATGAAACAACAGGGACAAGGCTCCATATAACCAGAACTGGACCCAATCTCTGTGGCGTCCAGCCATGGTTATAGAGGACAGGTTACCTACTAGATATCATTCAAATATCCTGCTATCTATCCATGGTGCTAAATGACATCTGAGACAAGACTGAGTTGTTGAGGGCTGGGGATTTAGTTCAGTGTCAGAACACTTGCCTAGCAGCTTGGGGTTCTGGGTTCCATCCATTTTTAGCACCCTAAAAAAACTAACAAACCAGATGGTGGTGGCACACTAGGGAGGCAGAGGCAGGTGGACCTCTGAGTTCAAGGCCAGCCTGCTCTATGGAGTGAGTTCCAGGAAATGCAGAGCTGCAGCGAAAAACTGTCTTGGAGGAAAAACAAAACAGAAACCCAAAACAAAACCCAATAACAAGGACTTAGTCAACTTTACCTGGAAGTTGGAGAAGGGCCCAGATCAGAAGGCTGTAGTGTTTGTAGGCAGCCCCTCTCAGACCACTACCACACTGACCTGGCTCAGAAGAGTAGGGCAATCTACAGTCTGCCAGAGCTCAAGGGATCCTCAGTGCTTCCATATCCTGTCACTTTTCAGATGAGAGGAAAGGGCCACAGAGGCCCCTTGGTAAGCTGGTCCCAGTCAATATGGGCACTCAGCCTCCCTTCAGGCTTTGAAGCTGTGCCCTTCAGCAGCAGCTGTCAAATTACGCTTGGGATTGTAGGACAAAGGTAGGAAACAGAATTTGGGAGGAACTGGTGATGTTCATGTTGCTCACCCTCCCATGCCTGTGCCTTGCTTGCTTTTTGGTGTCATCCTGCTAAGGTCCCAGGTCCTTGATTGCCAGGCCCTCCCAGAACATTGTACTTCTCCCTTTCCCTGTCAAAGGCAGAGGCAGCCAAGCAAAGGGACTTGGAGGGACCTGGGCATTTTAGCCCTAGGTTTCTCATTAGGAACCCTCTGGCATGTGATAGACTGTGTAAAGACCTGGAGTGGCAAGAGCTCATTACCTACAAGTAGTCTATTCTAATATTGGACCTCACTAAAAGTTAAAATGCTCATTCATTTGTTCAGAGCTAAAATGAGTTTTCCTAAATTTCCATCCATTATTCTTTTGGTTCTCTGAGGCCACATAAGTCCATGATGCTTCTCTAAATGGCCCTTTGGTTGAAGAAAGGGCTTAGGTACCTTGGCTTTCTCCATGGGTCCTAACTTGTACTGGCTTCCAGTTACCCTGATGAACTATTTTGTGTTCCTGTCAAGGTGGGAACATTTTACATTTGAGGCATTATCCCTTGGGACCAAACCAAATAAAGAAGAGTTTCTTTGGAGCAGTGAGGCTCAGGACAATGAACCTTATGTGACACTATTCCCATGTGGTTCACTAAGCAACACCTGGGACCCGGGAGGTCTGTGAATGCTTCTCTGTTCTCTCTCATGCTCTGTTTCACCAAGTTCAATCAATAAGCCATCATGAACAATTATTGGCATTAGAATCCTAAATACTAGTGACAAAAGACTTAAACCTTCGGGCATTGGCTGGGCATTGGTGGCGCACGCCTTTAATCCCAGCACTCGGGAGGCAGAGGCAGGAGGATCTCTGTGAGTTCGAGGCCAGTCTGGTCTACAAGAGTTAGTTCCAGAACAGCCTCCAAAAGCCTTGGAGAAACCCTGCCTCGAAAATAAAAACAAAACAAAACAAAACAAACAAACAAAAAAAACCTTCGGTCATTGAAATTTGTACCTTTGTGTTTTATTTTTTAATTTTTATTAAAATTACATTTTATTTTGTGTGAATATGCAAGCCATGGTACATATAAGGAGGATGAGCTTAGGTTATTAGGTTTGGCTGCAGGTGCTTTACCCACCTTGCTGGTCCTTAATGTTGTCTTGTTTTTCTAATTATGTGTGTATGGATGGGGGAGTGCAAGTGCCTGTAGAGGCCAGAAAAGGGCGTCAGACCCTGATGGAACTGGAGTTAGGTCATTGTGAATTTCTTGATGTGAGTACTGAGAACCAAACTCAGGTCCTCTACAATAGCAGTATGTACTTTTGTTTTTGTTTTTTCAAGAGAGGGTTTCTCTGTGTAGCCCTGTCTGTCTGGAACTCACTCTGTAGATCAGGCTGGCCTCAAACTCACTGAGATCTGCCTGCCTTTGCCTCCTGAGTGCTAGGATTAAAGGCATGCGCCACCAACCACCAGTATGCACTCTTAACCACCATATCTCCATCCCCATCCTTAATGTGTGTGTGTTTAAAGATTTATTTATTTGTTATGTATACAACATGTTTGTCTGCACTTCAGAATAGGGAATCAGATCTCTTTATAGATGGTTGTGAGCCACCATGTGGTTGCTGGGAATTAAATTCAGGTCCTATGGAAAAGCAGTCAATGCTTTTGTATCTAAGCCATCTCTCCAGTCCTATCCTTAATGCTTTAAATAGGAAAAAAAAACAAAGGCAAACAGGATAAACTCATATGAGGATTCAGTCTGGTGTCCTCATCCCCATAACCCAGGAATTACAAAAAAATAATGGTGTGTGGTGGTGCAGACTGGGAGCCCAAGACAGAATGATGGAGCATTTGAAGCTAGCTTAGGCTATTTAGCAATAATGCTTGTCTCAAAAACAAAACAAAAAAGGAAGAAAACAAGCAAAGGATGTTTGGTATAGCTCAGGAGGAGTCACTGCAAGAGAAAGTCCTCTTCTGACCCACCGACCGATGAAGCCACCGTGCTGCAGTGCCTGGCAGGCTCACTGACTGCTCTTCCTGAAGAAATACCGAAACGGGAAGAGAGTGCTGCAGGAATGAGAGCAGAGAGTGTGAGACTGATGGTTGCTTCCATTCTCCCTGGTTCCCATTAGTGCTGCATTATCTGGGGCATTTTGTTCTGCAGAACCACTGAGTGGAAATGCAAGACCAAAACAGCATCTGAGAAGGTACCCAAATTAGATTATACCTGGAAGGGGGAAATAAAGGAAAAAGAATTGCAGTAGGATGGCTAAGCTCTAGATAGACAAAGATTTGCTCAGTGTTCTCTGCAAAAAGGGTTCTGAACACACACCTAGATTCAGAAGTGAGAGTGGAAGCATTCTGGACTCAAATCTTCTAGACGACCCAAGAAAGACAGATGTTTCTATTCAAGCAACATTTGTGAAACAGGCTTGTGTGGGGATCTCAGGTGGAAAGAACTATACATAAATGAGCAGAGAGCAGAGCAGCCCAAACTCAAAATAAGCCTGGGTTACAAAGTGAGATCCTGTTTCAAAAGGAAGGAACCTGGTGTGATGGTGCACATCTTTAATCTCAGCACTCTGGAGGCAGAGGCAGAAGGATCTCTGTGAGTTCGAGGACAGCCTGGTCTACACAGTGAGTTGGGGGCTAGTCAGGGTTACATAGTAAGACCTTGTGTCAAAAAAAAATAGTACACAGGTCTTTTGAATTAGGGGCCTTGTTCTCAATTTCATTCCCACCATCTCCCTTTGATGCACTGAGAAATCTCAGTAATGAATCGACTTCTATAGTCTCTCCCTCCCCAAGACTCAATGAAGCAACTGGACCTAGAGATTGCTTTTCAGCTTGAAGGCAAAAACACTCTGCCTTACCTTAGAAACCCAAAGAAGCCACTGGCTCCTGGTTCTTTGGGTGGTGGTGAGTTGCTATGTTGCAGTGGAAGGACAACCAGCCCTGGCAGACTATGCCCCAACTTAAAATCTGTAAGGAAAACATTCAGGCAGGGGAAAGAGATTGGCCCACAGGCTCCTTGAATCTGAAAGGAGATCATAGGACAGCCTCACACACCAAGAATTATTTAGAGCCAGGTGAAATATTTGCTCTGACCTTTCCAATTTCAAATCAGCTCAGTAAAATCCTATTCTGTCCTTGGTATATTTTCAAAGTCAGGCTTGAGATATTTACACAGCTCAAGTCTCAAGCCATCCACCAGAGCTGACATGTTTCTACAAGGAACCACATCTTGTTCATTAATTCACATGGTCACACTCTGCATCTGCATAACTGCACCTCACTCCAAGTCCTTGTGCTGGGTAAAGATCAGAAAGCAGAAAGGGCATGTCTCACTGGGCATTCATAGGCCTGGCAGAGCACCTGTTTATACCTTCAGTTTGTTTTCTGAGACAAGGTTTTATGCAGCCCAGGTCAGCCCCTACTTTGTTATAGTGAGTCACTCAGGTTCTAGGATTGCAGGTGTGCACCTTGCCTGGGTTTGAGGTCCTAGGGATTGTCCTCAGGGTTTTGTGCAAGTGAGGTTAGTGCTTTACCAGCTGAGCTCCAACTCCAGTCTCTGCACCTTCCATCTTCATGCTGATGCTCCAGGGGAAGAGGAGGAAGTACTTCCCAGAAATAGTTCTTCAACCCCACAGAAGAGGGAACCACATTCCTTCCAACATCCTTTACTCCCTTCGGGCCCTCCCACTGTTAGGAAATGTTTTGGAACTGCTGCACTATTGAGTTCACTGTCTGAAGCAAGGAGAGGCTGGGCATGGTGGCTTATGCCTATAATCTCAGCATACGGTAGGCTCAAGAGTTAGAGGCCAGCGGGTCTCAAAGAATAAAATCTCCCACCAAACAAGAATCTCCCAAAACTTACCCTGTTCCTGGCCATCAGTGGCATCAGAAACTGGGGTATCCTGGTATTCTTGCTGGGCTTCTCCTTCCCTGTTCTGTTAAAAAAAAGGGGGGGCAAGGATAAAATCTTAACTTTATCCTACAGGGCCTGTAATCTGGGTACTGCTGACTTCTGATGGTTCAGGCAAGCCCTATAGGTCCTTCTGTAGGCTGTTCTTGTTCATTCCAGCTTACTAACACATTACCTCTAAAGCCATATGCTGCAGAAGCGCAGAACAAATATCCTGGGCAGCCTTTAATTCTAGCACTTGGGAGGCAGAGGCAGGTGGAGTTTTGTGAGTTTGAGGCCAGCCTGATCCACAGCTAGTTCCAGAACAGCTATGGAGGTTACACAGAGAAAACCTGTCTTCAAAAGAAAAAAGAACCAAATATCACTTTGGAGACATGTACAGTCCATTGGCCAAGACTATACCATAAACCAGTATGGCGAGGCTGCCCCATGAGTAGTGCTATAGTTGCAAAAAGTGGCAGTTGTCAAGGAAGACTTCACAGGGGAAGTGGCATTTGGATGGAGTTTTGATGAATTTTGTCATAATTTGGGTGAGGAGCTGGTCGGGGAGAGTAGGGCTTTCTGGGCAGAGACATAATGAAAAGGGCACAGTACCATTACTGAGTAAATACAATCAGCATAGTTAGAGACAGGCATGGTGGAAACATGACAGCTGAACAGTCAGTATAATACAATGCAATCTTATTATCTCTCCGTGTGTCACTGCTTGGTAGAAATTCCCTTGTATGTCAAAGAGGACATCCTACAACCTGGTTCCAGGTCCATATTTTCGTAAACACTCTAATGGTCAGAAACACAGGCATGCATTTTCTTTGGAATATCTGCCAGCTGGTCTGTCCTCACCTAGCATAGCCTGAGTACCTGACTGAATAGCAGCACGTATGCTATTCAGGCTGTGCTTCTAGGAAAGAATTTTTACA